AAGCCGCAAGGGAGAATGCCGCGATAGGGGAGAAGTTCCGTTACCCCATCGGAGGTCACCGGGATGCGTCCACGGGCACCAGGATGCCGTCCACGGGCACCGGGATGCCGCCCACGGGCACCAGGATGCCGTCCACGAACACCGGGATGCCGTCCACGGGCACCGGGTGCTATCCACGGCCACCGGGATGCCGTGGCACCTAGTATGAGTGCGCCCAGAGAAAGCTAAAGACTTTGACTTTAACAACGAATGGGCTTAAAATGTTTTTTCCTGTCCTCACTTCAGAATGCAAGAATTCGAATTTCTAATTCATAGAGTCGATATTAGTTCAACTGAGTGGTTCAGACAGATCAACGGTCAACGAATTGGTGGAGATGCGAAGTGATCCAAATTGGAACTAAACGTGCATTGGTTCATTCTATAGATGCGCAGTTGAGAAATGATCAAAACGAAGAATAAAAGAGGTTAAACTCAACATAAAGACGAAGTGGACAACCAAAGCTGTAAAAAAGTTGTGAAAAGCTTCCGACGAGCGAAACTATTCGTATGAAATCTCATGAAAATCGCTCTAGACGGTCTACGGAATCGGATAGAAATAAGCGTAGAGTTACGGTGGTCGCCATTGCAGACTACCACAGGTTAGGGAATAAATAGCACCGGCCACCCATCTTCTGGGCTTTCGTGCTGAATGCTGAGGTAGAGCAAGGCCTTCTCCCCTGCTCCAAGTACATCTTCACGACTATAGCATTGTAAACCTTCTTGAAAATACCTGTTTCATCGGTGTTGAGTAACAGTGATGTAAGCGTAAACAGATTGGCAGCATCATGGTAACTAAATACAAGACCAAACGCAAACTGCGGTCGATCACAGCAAGATATGAAGGGCGTTCGCTGCGCAACTGAATTACTAATCGCATGTGGCGGATTGGACATCAGACATAACGGCGCACTCATTAATACAAAAAATTTGAATTGTGAGGTATCAACAATGGGTGTTATAGCGTGTAAAAATATAAAGGGAATAGTAAGGACCTCACATAGGAACGAATCTTCAGTTGAGAAGTCGGGCCACTGACTGACTTGGAAAGACTGTTCAAAGCTCGTAAAGAAATTAGTGCTTGTGTGTATTGCTTAGCGCGAATCCATTTCCGAATTCTAAACGATATTAACTACAAATTAACCTTACCGATGCACTCGTTCGCCTCGTTAGCGGTTCCAGGCCTCCAAGGCCTATCGTTGAAGAACGGCAGGCATTGATCACAGTCAGCTCCTAAGAAATTATGATTTGATGTTAAATACAGCTGTAAATGCAGGAACAGAACCTCTATTGAAACTTTACAGCAGAGATAAAGGAAAGCTCCGAAAGTTTGGCAGCACCCCACCAAAGATGGTTGCACATGGAAGCTCACCTTGAGTGTTGTGTTCGCAGCGACAAACTAGTCTGTTTTCACCATCTACACTCGAGGAACGGACACATTCCGATGCATGCCCATTGCATTTACACCTAAAACCATTCCTCGTTTCATCATCTATTGTTCGAGATATATGAATAAATGAAATTAACACAATTTCTGTCACGGTAAACTTCAAGAGGGTAAACTCAGGTCTGAGCCGGTATACCTTAATGAAGGGTTTGCCTGTAATTACCAATCTTTGGCCTTATGTCCTTCCAGAAAGACTTCCAAAAATTCACTACAGGCCAATTCAACTCCATTGCATTAAATTAGAACAGCTCACCTGCCTCCGACAGCAAAATCGGATATCGCGTAGTAGTAACTTCTCAATACTTGTGGATCGCCGAACACTTCATCACCAAACGTGTTCATTCGATTCAAGACGATTTTGATGGCTGATGCAGTCACCCATTGCTGAAACATATCTTGTACAAGTCAATTTCACTCCTATCTACCAAACATGATTTGTCTGATGCCGAATTATGCTGTGCATTAGTGGAGTGAATACGAGACCTATAAACATATATAAAGTGATAAGGGATAAAGTCTTCTAGCGTTAACTAATTCTGTCTGAGGAATGCTCCCCCGCATCCGACTTCCACTTGGAATCGTGGTTACAATGCTGGTGTCAACCAGAATCTCTCTCGCTCAACGGCGGAAGGGTGTGTCCTCTCGTTGTCCGCCACACTCTCCTCCGAACTGTTCCTTCGTCTAGAGTAAACCTATGAACGAATGTAAGAGTTGAAGATTAATCACAGGAGAAGTCCTATCAAGCTAAGTACACTAAATATTATTGGAATTAAAATGGAGATGACTGTGATGTAGTTCGATAAGGGTAGTTACTGTTTGAGCAAATTGAAGACTAGAGAATCAAGACCTGATCTTTCTTGCAATATCATCCAAACAGCTGCATAAAACGTTCACATTGATAAGCATCTAGATCCATGCTTTCCGCTATTCGCTACTTTTTCCTTATGTGATTAGACAGTTAGATGTACGACATTTTGGGAATCTGCAGCAACCTAGTCATCAGGTTACAAAGTTCACGTTTCATTTACCACAGTTAAAGTCAGTGAGAGAAGGCGAGCTCCTCCGCCTGCGCTCTTGGAGGAGCTCTTGGAGGAGGAATGCCTCTGACGAAGACGCTGAGAAAACGACAAAAACGCGTAGTCACTTTATCTGCGGTTGACAACGATTCTGTAACCCGGAATCGTAGAGGCACCTTTATTGCGTATGTGGCCTATACAATGACTTGCGCTAGCCATTCGATATACAAGTCAATGTTTTCATTCTCCCAGACCAGTCTGTTACCAGTTAACGGATCCCGGAGGATAGAAGGCTTGGTTGGCCAGAGCGGACATGGANCAGGGGTTCGAACCTGTGACCATGCGCGTGTGATAGTGCGCCACTTGCCACTACACCACCTTCGTCCGTGAACTCATATAAGGGCCTTCTTCGTGTATTGCATAGTAAGCCCAATTCAAATAGACTGAATCAGCTATGTACAAAAACTATAGACTGGAAAGATACCAATTACCTGCAAAACATCGCTGTCTTCAAAAGCATGTGCTGACGGTCTTCCTTCGAGTGTAGAGAACGCAATATTTCCTCCAGTGATTGGTGAAATATCGGAGAATTCCTGTAAAACATAGCCTTGAAACGAGTAGTGTAAAGAGTCAAAGCTTTTCCAGTACTTTTGTGCACTGAGCAACTGCTTCATTGCCCGGAAGAATTGGAGCTTTGTCAGGAAGACCATACGTAGCACGACATGATCCGCTGAAACAACGCCAGCGTATTCAGGGACCTTGATATATAATACTGGTATACGATTTAACTGGTTATGTTCACTTACGAGTAGAATTGCCACGGCACCCACTCATCATCTAATAATGTCTTCTTGTATATTGCGAAAGACTCAGGTCGTGGGGAGATAAACTTTAACCTAACATAGGTAATGTCAAAAGTTTTTCCTGAAAAAACAAATGATGAAAAAAACGAAAACATCAAAAAATAGAAGTTAAATCATGAAATTGTAAGTCGCTTAAAGATTTCACCGATTCCCACTATTCGGGGGGAACTGAGCGGAAGAGCCCAGATTGCGAACATCACCACGATAGGGCATCTCTGCAAAGCACGCAAAGTGGAGAAGGGAGGATTGTAAACTACGAATGGGTGGAATCGGTCGCTTTAAGTTTGATTGACACAAGCGAGCGCGTCAACGTTCGTTAGGTCGTGAACCTCAACTGGCACATTCTGATTGCGTTAGCCATTTCCTAGTGGTTGCTAAGAGTCGTTTTAAGAAAAGCTAACTTCCGTGGTAAAATTGTGACCCATTCCCTGGGAAAAAATTGCTATTTTGATAGGAACTTCGTGGTTACGTCTCTTCCTATCAGGAGTAATGTAAGAGATAGCTGGCGAACAAAGCAGAAACAAAGATTTGGGCACCCGGGAGCCGGTCGTTTGGCGCGATGGGCGGGGTCGCGCCGC